AGAAAATGTGTAAGAATTGGGGTAGAAACAAGTGCGGTCCAACATATCAAGCTCACTATAGAAAACAAAGCTCAGATGAAGTCCGAGTAGGGTTTCATCGTCTATGTAAGAATCGGGGGTAGAAACAAGTGTGGTCTCACAAATCAAGCGCACTATACAAGAAAATTTTTAGATGAAGCTCAAGTGTGGTTCTATCTCAAAACCAATTAGTGAAAGTAGGAATAGTAACCCACTAGTCTTATAAGTTTTTGTTCTATTTTTCTTGTGTATTGGATGTAAGACAACTCACAAGTAGTATTATACCCGACATGGCTGAGAAACGAGTACGTCATCGCACGGTCTTACATAGAACCGACTCTGGCACCATGTAAGAATCAGGGGTAAATCAAGGTGCGGTTAATGCACAATACAAGGAAAACCCAAATTAATTAGTGAACTGAGGAATACTCAATAGTCTTATAAGTTGGGTCTATTTTCTTGTATAAACGATGTGGGACAACTCACAAGTGATATTATATTCTAATAACCTAGACATGGCCCCGGCCTGAAACCGACTTGGATTTATCGATTTTTAAACCGGGCCCTTAGCCCTTAAGGACCGGTTCCGGGTCTTAATTTTTCTTTTCTGACCCACCGGTTCTGGGCCGGTTCCAGATCGGAAGGCAGGTCGTAGTGATTTTTTTTGTTTTATTTTAAATAAAAAACCGAGAGTTCAATAAAATGTTAGATCGAGCCGGTTCATTTGAACCGACCTTTAGACATAGCCGGGTCGGTTCCGGGCCCATCATTTGAGGCCCGCTGACCCGGCAAGCCAGGTCGGGTCGTGAACCGGCCCAAATATTGGACATGTCTACCATCACCAGGCCGTGCAGCTCGGCTCTCGGAGAATCATCGCCCGGGACTGCTTTTTCGCTGGTGGAAGTGGCGGGTCGTCCCCCGAGTGGGTTCCACCGTCAATCTGGTCGCCATGGTAAGGTGGATCCAATGGCTCCCCGGCGTCTTTGCGGTGGTGGCTTACGGCGGGCTGCAACTCCGATTACCTTTTTTGCGGTGGTCGGGGCGAAGGTTGGAAATCTCTTTTCCCCGTAAATTCGTCAACAATCGGGTCACTTGAACAAAGAGCCCAACTTTACTATATCCACAATTTAAAGCATTTTAATTGGACATTGATAATAGAATAAATCATTCGCATTTTGACAAAGTAGATCACATAAATGAAGACCCATTCATAATAGAATACCAAGAAAGTGATCTAATGATTTTCCAGTTTCCAGAGATTACAAGCCACGTTTTTTCAAGTAGATCAACTTCAAAAACAATAAGGAAGCCACAAGCAGCAACTCATAACGGGGTTTTAAGAGATACACACCATTGCCTCCGATGAGGCTCTAGGTAACGATAATAACTCCTCAGAGAGCTCAAGCAGTTGTTCGGTGGTAAATGCTTTCTCTGTCGAAATTACCATTTTCTGTAACCTCGGAGTATTTTTCAGTAGAAATTTGACAATCTGGATGAAACACGGGTCGCCTATATGGCGGCTATGTATCATAATGCTCTCAAGGCAGGGTAAGGTTGCCTCCTGTGAGTTCAAGTGTACCTCTCCATCAGAATCATTTTTCCACATCCAAAATGGGCCCTCAGTCTAGCAGCACAAAGTTGAACCATCTCAGTACTCCAATTTAGGGGAAGACAGACGATGGAAAATGAATTTTAAAAGTACGAGGAATTTGTACCTGAGAAGTGGTATGCATCGTAAGTTCCACAAGAGAAGAACAGCAGCTCAGCAGGAGAGAAAGCCCCGGAAGATGAAATTTCGTGAGATGAAGTTTAACTTTGACATGCTTCCACTCGAACCGTGGGCAAAGGACATTATTCACCTTCCATATTGACATCAACTGCTCACAAAAAGCATTTTAAAAAAAAAAATATTTTTAGGTAGTGGCAGCATATAGCATATGTTATCTCATGAAATTTACAAGATCCTCATTAGCAATGATACAAGGCCTATATAAATTGTCACAAAAGTTTCTTTTTTCTCTTTTCATTAACTTAGAACCTTTTGTGTTCTTACAGCTTCCACATATGCAAACTACAATGTTTAAACAGTTTTTAGTTGTTTAAGCATCAGAATTCACTATCATTCTCATCATCAGATTAGCACTTCAAATTTTGCATCTCTAAAGTACACCTTCAACAATTCATTCTTCACGAAGAAAAAGTAAATAAATGAAAGCCTTTTATTTCATCTCATGCAAAAAAATAAATAAATAAATAAATAATCAGATGTTCAAATAACTCAAAGCACGAGAAGGCACAATGAATACCAAAATACTCCAAGTGCATATGCTGAAAGTTGTGCACTGGCGAAGCATGAACAGTAGATTCATCACTACAGGATAACGCGTGGGCAGGCATCTTGATAAGCCGCCAAAGTAGAAGGAAGCTTCGACCAATGATGAGACATGATGCAAAGTCACGGCATCGATACACCCAGATATTTCTATTGACTCTACATGAGGACACTCCACGAGCACAAGCCCGTCATTCACAGCCACACTAAGTATCAGCTTCTTCAAGTTTTCATTTTTGGAACTCAACTGGTGAAAGCCATGACAATTAACCACAGACAGATCCTCAAGAAACGGGCAACCATTCAAGATTCTTTCTATTGCTTCATCACTCAACAAAACCCTGTAGAGAAACAAGGCTCTAAGTGCCGGCAGATTTATTTGTTCACAAGATCTTATGTCACAAGCGGCCAACCGTAAATTCGTCAAGTATCCAGTACTTAAAACATCCGGTAACTTATAGTATCTCACAAAAAAACTACAGCCCTTAAAGTCGAGATCCAACACCTTGACATTTCTGCTCACGGCATAACAGATTAACTTCTCCACGTGATATATCGCGGCCATATCTTTCTCCACCTCCCGTCTTTGATCATCACTAAGGTTGGGATTATTATTATTATTATTATTATGATCATCAATGCCACATGAATAAGATTGCCCAAGTGCAAACCTGAGGCGCAATTTATCCAGCGTGTTCTCGTCACGATGATTCCAAACCTGATGAACTACATGCATAAATTTTTCAAAGTCACAACTGTCGAAATTCACATCTTCACCGTCCTCATGGTACACACAGTTGTCCAAATCAAGAACCGGCAAGCTAAGCCACAGTTTACCGAATCTCGGAAAAACAGCAGTTCTGATGGCATCACGTAGCGGTAGAAATGAAAGAATGTGAACGAGAATCGGGTCCGGCAAGTCACTGAAAAAGTCGCGGTTATCTTCACTGGAATTTTCTAGCCTGTTCGGATGGGAAAATATCTCCATCTGCTCGTTACTGCTTTTATCCATGGATGAAAGATTATGATGATGCTATCTCAAAACGATGCCTCATAACTAGAATTTATCCGGAAGTTCAACACATAATCGGCTGAAGCACAAAATAAGATAAATTAAATTCAAAACATAAGATGAATGTCACAATCGAAGTTGAAAAACCCCCCAATTTCAAACTGTTCTAGGGTTTTAGCAGCTTTTGCCCCCAACATCAAAACTCAGGATTTACAGTGAGATCTGTAGTAAAATTGAGACCGGAAAGATAACACAGTCATAAAATAAAACAAAATAAAATAAAAAGTAAAAGGATGTAATAAATCAGGGATAGAGTTACCTCAACTGTTTGGAAGACGCAGCTGCACAGTAATTTTAGCCATCTATCTTTGTGTGTTTTTACAACTGTGATGAGCGACAAGTCCTGGTCGGTCTTTTATTGAAATAATGTGTTTGAACCTAAAATTGTACTATTTTCACTATCTGCCCTTTGATTTATAGAAAATTCATTTGGAGGCCAACTCTTTTATTAGGAATTTTTTACCAGAAAATTTTAAAAAAAATTAAGTTGTGGAAAAAAAAAGAAAGTGGACCAAAATAAAAACCCCGTATTTAGTGAATACGTTTTACCCCTTTTTTAATTGTAAAAAGTATTCAAGGAATACAGTTTCTTTTATAAAAAATTCTGAAAAAACGTATTCCTTGAATACGTTTTCTACACAAATTGTACAGAAAACGTATTCATTGAATACGTGGTTTTGATATATGTCCACTCTTTTTTTTTCTTTTTTCTTTTGTCCACATGTTTTTTTATTATTTTTTTTTATAGAAATTGCTCCTTTTATTAGGCCCAATATTCTTTTGTTCCTAAAAAATAGTGAATATCCCGTGTGATACACGGAAGGCTTCATGTTTTAAACTTTTTTAAATTTTATTTTAAATATAATTCTTTATATTTTTTATATCTCATCTATTATGGAAATAAAATAAATACAAACAATAAAAAATGTATGTTATTAAACACTTCTCTTTATACAATACTAGTACATGGCCCGCGCGATGCACGGGGAAACAATATTATCATTGTGTCATAAGTTAAATATATAAATAACATTAATTATAATTCACCTATTGTTTTCAAAACAGGACCGGACCGAACATCCGACCGAATAGACCGGCAATCAGTTTATTGTTCAGTCCGATTAACTTAAATAAAATTTTTACATGCAAACCGATCAACACCGTCGGTTTTGGTGTTCGGTTGAACTGGTAAGAATAGTAAGATTTTTAAATATATTGTTATTTATTTTATCGTCGAATTTGAAAGTTTGACCATTATTTTTGCATCAAAATTTTATTTATGTGATACGATTTATTCTTCCAAATTTCTAGATATTTATATTAATAAGATATTGGTCATAGGTTGTTGATTAGGTTTGTTTCCAAAAAATATTAAAGAAAAAATGCAAATACATCCTATACAGTTTTTAATTTTGAACCAAGATGTGCTTTCTAAAAAATATTGATACCTATCAATAAGACCGTATAAATTTTAAATTACTATGTACATTATTTTTGCATCAAATTTTAATTTCTTTAATGTTGAGTTATTACCACGAAATTCAAGACAATTTACCTTGATATTGTAATCGGCTCAAATTAATCTATATGTTAATAAGGTTTGTTTACAAACAATTTTAAAGGTACCAATCTTGTACAACTATATTTTTTTTAGAACTTTAACAGAGATGCGTTCATACTGAAAAAAAAAAAAGAAGTGCACAAATCTTTGTAAAATTAGAGCACGGATTTTTTTTTTTTTTAAATAGCTACAAAATTCGTAAAATATGGAATGTATTTAATTCCATATTAATCAAAGTAAAATACAAAAATATTTTCAAAATAATTAATACACCATTTTCAAACGGGTTTGAAAAAAAAAAATCCATGGATATTTGTAGATTTGGAATATGAATCTTTTTAAAATTGATCTACAAATCCAATATGTAAATATGATGATATCTTTTTAAAATTGATCTAAATATTAAAAGATTGAATGCATTTGATTCCATATTAACTAAAATAAAATACAAAAATATTTTGATATAATTAAAATGGTGTTCTGAAGTTGGTTTGAGAACAATAAAGTTAATGGCCATATTTGATTAAATAGAGCAGGTACCTTCGTAAAATAGCTCTAAATATCTCACATGTAAAATATAAAATGTAATTGAGTACATATTAAACAAAACAAATCTATCAAAAATAATTTAAAAGGCTTTAGTAAATCGATTTACAAAAATATGACATATTTTTCTTAAGAGGTAAGTCAACAAATTTGACCAAAAAATTAATGAAACTTTCCACAAATGAATTTTTCATCAACATATTTTAATATATATAGATTAATGAATGTTGACATCAATTGATTATAAAAAAGATTGGTATTGAAATAAAACTCAAATTTTTAAAAGCATTATTTGTACCAAAATTGAGCAATTTAGTTACCAAAACTAAGTATCCGTGATTCAAGGCATATTTAAATGTTTCTCACTTAATAAATAAAAAATAAAAACAAATCTTGCCTGAAATGGTATGCAATTAATGTTGGCAGATTTTTTGCTTACTATTTTTGGTAAATACTAATTCTTATTATATATATATATATATATATATATACATATATATATATATTTCTTATTTAAGGAATATTATTAAACCTTTCGGTTTTGATTTTTTTCAAATCAATTATCCAATATATGATTGTCTGTACGAAAAGTAATCGAAAGAATCCAGACTTTAAAGTAAAGATATTTTTAATTTTTTTTACAAATCAAAATCATCCAAATTTTTTTAATTTCAAAAAAAAAAATGGTAAGTTGTTAATGATATTGATGAGTTTCTTCTCAGATCTGGGACGGTCTAATGAGACCAAATGATGAGTTTCTTCTCAGATCTGGGACGGTCTAATGAGAAAACGTCCGGATCTGGGACGAACCGGTACGGATGAGCTTAGATCTGATGTGATGGCGATCGAACCGTTGTTGTGAGCC